CCCCCCCCCCTCCCCCGTTTTTTTAAAATGAGAATTACCCCAACCCAAATACTAGGGGAGGTGATGCGAGCATCCTCCCCTACCTTGTTCCCCCGAATACAACGTACGGTAATTATAGCTGTATTTGGGGTATCTTTCAGTCTAAATACCGTTATAATGACCGTACGTTGTATTCGAGGGAAGAAGGTAGTAAGAGTTCGAGTGGCTCCAGTCGATTGGTGGGGAGCTACACCTGCTGGAAAGCGGGTCCAGCGTCGCCTCGGATACAAATATGCTTTTGGAATACTGGGAGAAAATTGTGGACAGCCCTGCCAGCATTGACTACCCCGTAGCCCTGCCAGCATTGACACCCCTTATTATCCCCTGTTGCTGGACCAAGTTATTCTGCTCCTATCCCCTCTCCCCCTCCCCCACTCCCCCCCTCCCCCCCCGCCCCCTGTTCCCCTACTTCCCTTCCCCCTCCCTTTAGTGACCGACTCTTGACTTGATACTTAAGTGGTTTGTCAGTCTACATGGTTGCTATTGCGTGAATCACCATTCTGTGACCCCGTCTCTCTGTTCCGGAGGCGGGGTTGGAAGGCACGTCAACGAGCCAGAACGGGGATGGAAGTCGTGCATTTGCTTGACAATGTCATCGGACAAGTGGACTCCCGTACGTCTACCGTCATGGGAAGGGTGCTTCATTTTTGCTGGGACACGTGTCGCAAAGAGAGAGGGGCACAAGAAGGGCGGGAGGCGAAGCAACAAGGGAAGGGGTCCTGCGCATATGCCCGGGTTCCCGATGAGGAGGCTGAGGAGCGATCGCGGGGTGTGACGATGGCTGTGGACATGGTGCAGCTCCAGACAGGAGGAGATATAGGCGAATGGTTCTGTTACCTTCTTCCCCCGAATACAACGTACGTACGGTAATTATAGCTGTATCTAGACTGAAAGATGCCTCAAATGCAGCTATAATGACCGAATACAACGTACGGTCATTATAGCTGCATTTGAGGCATCTTTCAGTCTAGATACAGCTATGATGACCGTACGTTGTATTCGGGGGAAGAAGGTAGAAGCTCCGGGGCACGAGACTTCGTGCCAGCACGACATGACATTGTGGCAAAACAACCCTCTGAGATTATAGTCCTACGGGGAACAATTAGGAGTAGTGGTAGGTAGGTAGTGTGAGGTGAAATTGAGAGAAGAATGTAGCTTGCTTAACAAAAAAAAAAAAAAAAAAAAAAAAAAAAAAAAAACCTTCTGAGATTGCCGAATCTAGTCGGTTAATCGGGGAGGATTTTCTTTTCTTTTTTCTTTTTTCTTTCTTCCTTTCTTCCTCCCCCCGCTTCGTTTTTTTCTATTCAGAATTATTGGATTTCAGTCATCTAGTTCCATCTGGATTCGACCTCAGGTCTGCATGTCAACAGTTCATGGGTGACCAATTGAGCTAGGCTCGTTGGTTAATGGGGGAGGACGTGCCACTGGGGGGGGGGAAGGTGGAATGCCGGTAGGGATACGGACGAATATCATGCCATCTGAAGGAATACCCGCACTATGACAATTTTTGACTGCTCTCTGGTCCTATTTGATGTCAGGTGCATCCAGGACCGGCCTTAATTGCAGTTAGGTACATCCAGAAAAGTCCTTCCGGTCATTTGATAAAACTGGAACGATACAGAGAAGATTAGCATGGCCCCTGCGAATGGATGACACGCATGAATCGAGAAAGACCCAGAAAAGTGCTAGTGTGAGTATATGCTCTGACTATCCTGCAATTATCAAATGGATGGAGAGAAATGGACAGGCCGTAGAAGTGTCAATTGCAGGTCAAAAGCATCGGCGAGGGCTCGAGTCCCTGGACAGGTGTGGATCCCGGAATGCGCATTACCGGTGGCGTGATTTGCCACCCTGATTACCCTGTCCTGGTTTGTGCAAGGGTTCGAGGCCCGTATACTATTCCTGAGAATCAAGGGAACCATTCTGAAGGGAGTGCAGGTGGTTCTCCATGGGCCCACCGCAGAGGAGTCACCAATTATCACCCAGCTGCTTGCTGTTCTCGACCCTCAGACGAGAGCCGTGACGAAGCGAAGGCCATGCTGCCTGACAGCGAGCCCAGGCCGTACCTTAACTCAGGTTAGTACAGAGAGAGGACTCTGGCTGGAGCTTTATATGGATTATTGTAGACCTTTGGATAGGGTCATCTTGTGCGCAAGGAGTTGGAACGGTGGGGGTCAGCATGGGGGGGGACATGTCTGATCTCCTGACATGACAATGAGTCAGATACCTGCTGACAATTTTCTGGGAGGACGAGAGGGGGCCTCTTTAACCGTGGTTGATTGCTGAGTTTGGGCTTGGGAGGAAGAGAGGAGGCCTCTCTAACCATGGTTTATTGCTGATCTTTCGTCCCTTTGGTTGATTGGGTGAGCATCACATTCTGCGTCGCATGTCAGGGAAGGTTCGCCGTCAATTTAACCGTGGTTAATTTGCTGTCCATCCGTTCATCATCCTCGTCTTCTCGAGAGGCCACCTAGCAAATCTATAGTTTGCTGGGTCTTCCTCTCCTGCCTGGTGCTTGCGCGGCAATTAAAGGACCCTCTTACCCCATTGTGAAGTTATGAACTGCATTGCTGAGTGCTGTACACCGCCCCGTCAGCTCACTTTCGCCTAGTGCGTAGTTTGAGGACAGCACTTGTAACAAGGAAAGTTCTGCTTCTTCTTGACCCTGCCACTTGCAAACTCGGAAGACAAAAACTCTGGTTTAGTTGGTTATTCAACAGTCCTCATGGCGAACCCGCTCAACTTGTCTGTCGTTTATGCTTCACCTTTCAGCATTTTTCTTTCTTTCTTTCTTTCTTTCTTTCTTTCTTTCTTTCTTTCTTTCTTTTCTTCTAATTACAAACATAAAAAACCCATCTCGATGTCCCCCCGCCGCCAACGCGCGTCCCTGACCTTTCAGCATGAAAACCTTTATTACTCTTTCCGCCCTCCGATAGCGTTTCCAAATTTTATTTCTTTTGAACTTGATTCAAGTTGATTGCCATTTTCGCGGTACATGTTTGACAAGAGTCCTTGTTCTGTTGTTGGTGCTTTGTTTTGAATCCTGCAATGCAGCAGTCCCAGGATGCATCCAGGCCAACACTAGCTTTGCTGAACAAGCAGCCTCGTAGCAGGTATGGATCTTACAAGAACTCCATTCTTTAACCTATGGCAATTATCGCTACGTCTGGACTGCATTTTCCGCCAAATACATGCCAAATACAGCTAAAATTACCGTACATCCTATTGCGTGGAAGAGGGCAACCTTCTAATCTCAGGGACATATGGGGTGCTGTAAAGATCGGTCATGGTTATGTTGGGGGACTCGGGGCATTTTCTGAGCTGGATTGTCTAGGAAATCTTATTTTTTGTGGATGCCTTTGACTCCCTTGCAATGTCTGCATACGTGTGGTGCGGGGTGGCTGAATGGGCCACGCCAATACACTGTTAAATTGGGTTAAGCAGCCTCGTATAACCCCACTACTCACCGCATGCACAAAAGACAAAAAATATGGCGTTGTATCTTCCGATGTTCTAGCGGAAGATTCATTCTCATTTTGTACATTTGGTAGGTAGTGGAGCGAGGCCCAATGTGGATCAACAGATCGAGGAAGTCAAAAAGATGTCGTTGAATACAACAAAAACGGTCTGGGCTTCCTTCCCCTCTTGTCAGTTAAGTTGAAGAGAACAGTTCTTTTCTGTCATTGACTCTGTTTTGCTCGGCTGCGTTTGGGATTTGGAATTTTGGATTCCTTTTTTTGCCTCTGCTCTTTTTGCTGTTCTGTTGTCTTTCTCCTGCTCCACAAAACCGTCAAACTTACAGCAAGCTGAACACGGATCCATTTTCCATGCCTGCACCATTGCGGGCTGCTGAATCTGCAACCTTGTCTCTGAGGGCCAGCCCCCACTGGTGCTCTGTTTGCGCCAAGTCAGCTTGCACCGAGTCATCTAAATGACCAGGTGCATGCTACCTTAGCTTTGTCTCAGCTCTGACTCTATGGCAGCCTGTGGATGTTTGCATTTTTTTCCTTCTTCCCCATGTTAAAACCGATCCAGTGAGCAATTACTTGAATTGAGTGGGGGATTCTCTGGAATGCCAGCTCAAGGGAACATGCCAATTGCTTCGAGAAGAACCTCGCAGACTTTCAAAGCGTACGCAAGGGAGAATTTCCAAGACCATAAGAAAGGTTTCCTGAGAAAGGAAATCCCTAAGGAAGAGCTCATGGCCTTCTCTAAGGTAACACAGCTGATTTTTCCAAAGTCACTCTTAAGCGGACACAATCCTCGTTGTTCTGTCATGCCTACCTTCCCCTTCTCATTGTTGTGTTGTGTTGTGCCTACCGTCCACATCTGAATAGAACTGAGTCTCCCAGTCATTATATTGATGCATCTGGACTGAAAGTTGCCCCAAATGCAGCTATAAAATGACTGGGCGTTCTCTCCGGGTGAAGACCTACTGTCCAAATAGAACACCCGGTCATTATTGCTGCATCTGGACTGAAAGTTGCCCCGAATGCAGCTATAATGACCAGGCGTTCTGTTCAGGTGAAGACGGTAGTGTCCCCTTCTCCAAGGTAACACAGCGGATTTCTCCTTAGGTCACTCTTAACCGATCACAATCCTCATTGTTCTGTCATGCCTACTGTCCCTTTCTCCAAGGTAACGCAACTGATTTCTCCAAGCTCACTCTTAAATAATCTCCAGTTCACACGAAGCAGCGTACTGCTCTTACCAGTTAACACAATAAGACCATTTCAATTTGGGTCTGGTCTGGTAGCAAAAGCGTCAGGCCACCTGGGAAAGGCGCAGTTGCAGGCTCGCGGGCCTGGGAAGCTAGCCTTGTCAACTTAGGCTCCTGTGAACTAACTGGTGGTTTAACTGAACAAACCTCATTGTACTGTCATCTGTGTCATGTTTACTGTTCCCTTCTCCATGGTAAATCTTAACCGAGGTGGTTTGTTCGGGTAAGAGTTGTTTAAAAAAAAAAAAAAAAAAAAAAAGGGCGACGGCCTTGAAATATCATCATTGAACTGACCGGCCTTCAGAATGATTTTATTCTCTACATCTGAGGTCATCTGGATTCGAACTTGAGTCTGTATTTCAGCAGTTCAGGGGTGTACCAACTGAGCTAGGCCCGTCGGGGGGTGGGGGGTAAGAGTTGTTACCTGGGAGCAAACCTCGTTTTTCTGTCATGGTTCAACTGATCAATTACTCCCAAGTGACTCTTAACCGAACAAACCTCATTTTTCTGTCATGCCTACCGTCTTCACTTGCTATGCAGCAACCTTAAGGTGGGTGTAATATGCTGCCCAAGCCCAAGCAGACTTCGGAATGGACTCGATCCCAGTCGCGAGGTGGGGATGCTGTAGCATAATGAAGGGAAGATGGTTCGGAACGTCGGATAGAAAGGAAGAAAGAGGACAAGAAGGGATATTTGGGGAGGATGAGAGGGGTCGAGAGAGAGAATAGATAAGGGGAGAATGACATAAGATTGCTATTATTTGGAGGGAGGAAAAAAACAACAGGGAGAAGGTGGAGGAGTGTCAAGCAGGGAATGAGAAGTAGAACGAAGACTTAGGACACGATCTTGAGGAAATCAGAAGCACCAAAAGGTAAGGACTGGGGAAACTATCCTAACAGTACAGCGACACGCGGTTAACAGAGGGCCAAAAATTCACCGTTTTCACCAACAGTTTCGGTGCAAAATTCTGAGAAAAAATTCAAAAACAAACTATACGGGCAAAAAAAAAAGCAAAAAATCAGGGCAATATGACTGTTTCAGTGCAAAATCCGGCCAAAAAAAATGCCCCCGGTTAACCACGTGTGCAGCGCATGTGTTCCTGACCAGGCTGGTCCGGCTCCAGCTGAAACACGCCAGGCAAAGCCAGAACATCCGAGTCCTCCTGTGTAGCTTTCGAGAACACGCTGCGTTGAACTCCCTGAGTCGACTTGTCCGTGGTGTGAGTGTCTTGTATGTCCTTACTTGAGCTCAAACTCATCCATGGTCAAGAGTTCCCAGGCTTCTCCCCTGGGAGAAAACTGGCCTGCTTTGACGTCTAGACGCTGTGGACATGTCCCCAGGCCTACTGACCTTAGGACTTTGTGGGACTTTTCGGAAACAGTACAACCGACTTTTGGGGCCCCGAACTTCGGCTTGGTCAAAAGGTACGACCCTTACACTTTTTCCAGTCCTGGTTCCTCTCCATTCTCTGACTCTTGAGGGGGTTTTCCTCAGACTGCACCCCAAAGGTCTTTGTTGAAGTGGACAATCCCACTCTTTTACGAAAGATTTTAATTTTCACGATTACTAAGTCGGTCGCCCTCCATTGGCTCAAGACAGGGACTGGGCCATATTCTACCGAACTGAGGGCCATTTTGACGGAACGTGGGACCCTACAGACGTATTTGTCCTGCCCAGCCTTGACTCAGACTTCGGATGCATGTTTCTGTGCTGAGCCTCATTGCAAGTATTTGTTGACAAGCAGGCACAGGGTGACAGGGCGGCACATGGGTGTTGATTTTCATAATTGAATGATATCAGGGAATGTTTGAGTGTTTCCTGATATATACGATGTGAGAGCCTTTTTTTTTTTTTTTTAATAATTAAATAAAAACGGGTTCCATTTATTATTAACTCAATAGGAGAGGGGCCGGCCTCGCCACATAAAGACCAGGTCCGGGAGCATTACCAGGTGTTATGCTTTTGAAGGGACCCTCTGGGACCCGGCGAAAAACCTTTCCAGAGAATACATCCATAATCTCATTCCTTTAAGGCTTAAACTCTAAACCCTAGCTTAACCTGTGCACTTTTTCCCCATGTAATTCCGGAAAGAATTTTAGGAGTTGGACTAGCCCAAACCGAACAGAAAGTAATCTTCTAGTCTCTATCCTCCTCTCTTTTTCTAGCCCATCCTTCGGCGTCCTCTATGCTGTGTTTGTATCAGCACTGTTACTGCATCGAGCGAGGTGGGGGGCCGCCATGTGAACTCCTCCGTGTTGTTCTTCCTGTAGCTTCCAAACCAGTCTCGGGGTAGCGCCTTCTATGTTGCCCAGCTTACCCATTCCGAGCCGGTCCTTAATGAATTTGTCTACGATTGCCTGCTTCTTTGTGGGGTCTTCTTTGATCTTCCTGGTTGCTCGGTGCCAGTCCGCCTGGTAATCTGTCCGTAAGAGTTGCGAGAGGTGCTCCCATGCCTCCTGTACTGGAGTGTTCTGGCCGTCAATCGTCTCTTTGCATCTTATCTTCCATATGACCCACAACGCCGGAGGACGAAGTCTTCGGAAGAGAGTTGATTGCCATGCTTCTCGGAACCATGGTTGTGCCAGGCGCGTTAGGCGAGTGAGCAGGTTGTCAGGCAGTAGTGTGTGCCAGGTAACTGAAGACCAGAGCGTCTGCACTCTGCCCCAAAGCGGCAAACCCTTTGTGCATTTGGGCACTACATCAGGCAGTGTGGGAAGTCCTCCAGGGTCCCAGCATCACAGATTGCACAGCTGTCATCAAAGTCCCGTCTGGCTGTTGTCGACCTCCTCTTGCTGAGCCACGTGTTGACCGGCAGGGCCTGATAGTACATGAGCCACTTCATGCTTCTTATCCGGGTGTTCCTGATGGCAAGGGGAACTTGCCAGTCGAGCTGTACCGTGTCCCCCAGGCAGCCCGAGATATGTTTCTCCCACCACTGTGTCAGGATCTCATTTGTGTTTATCACTCTTCGTCTGAGCCTGTATCTGAGTAGTCTAAGATGCTGGTTCGTTTCTGTGTCCCTGTCGTTGGTGCTCGTGTTTTCCAAGCCCACTCAGCGGGATCAAACTCCTAAGTCTTGGTGAGGTGTTCCTCGCTCATATGTTCTGCAGGTGTCGTCCTCCACCACCCTGATCTACCTGACGAGGGCCAGTTTGGCCGTGACTCGATCCGGTGCTTTGTTGGTGACCGTGCTAACCGTGTGCCCTGGCTGTTTGATGTCGTGGATGCTCCACAGCCCCCAATCTCCTGCTGGTCCTGTTGCTTTTACATATGACAATGCCACCGTGGTTGTGATCTCCGAGTGCCACAACTGCATTGAATGGTGCTCCAGCAGTAAAGGGGGGCATTGTGTTTTCTCATGCCCCGATGCCTATCGACATGTTTAGATGACCATCGCAAAAAGTCAAAGTGAAGAAATAATAAAGATGAAAAAACTACGGTACCGTGGGTAGGTGAAAAATGACGATGGGAAATGAATCTGCTGCGGAATATACTGTTGTCCAGGCCTCCCAGGCTCCCAACACATTTCTTGTCAATATGCCCTCTCTCCCAGTCGCTTTCTCGCATATAGATGCAGATATAAATGTGGGTCCTTATGTGTGAGAGAGAGAAAGAGAGTTCCTCCTCCCCTTGTGCATTTCCGCCCCGACCTTTCCACTACCCTATTCCCCTGCTCCTTCTCATTTCTCCTCCTGTCGGCATGTACATGTTCATTTGTCATGTATGTTCCTCAACCTGCATGTACCTCCCTCTCGCTCCTCCTGTGCTCTGTGCATGTGGATTGTGCATGACTTGTGGGTGCCACAGAGAGAGACAGACAGACAGACACAAAGAGAGAGAGAGAGAGAGAGAGAGAGAGAGAGAGAGAGAGAGAGAGAGAGAGAGAGAGAGAGAGAGAGAGAGANAGAGAGAGAGAGAGAGAGAGAGAGAGAGAGAGAGAGAGAGAGAGAGAGAGAGAGAGAGAGAAAGCTGGCGTGGTCTTTCTGGCCATCTGCATGAAAACTTTTGTTAGGTTGTGAGCGCAGATCAGATCCTGTGGAGTGGTTCAAAATCATTGGCTTCAAAGTTCACACATGTTTCCATTGGTTTGTCACTTTCTGTATTCTCTGATGTGAATCAGCTTGCGTCTTACTTTTATTCCTCAGAAAGTTTTGTCGTTATCCTTGACTGAAGAAATGACCATACATAGGTGCCGATTAAGCACATGATCAGTGGAAACACAACTCAATCCTGAAGGGCCTGTACTGCTTGTACCAGGTGCCGATTAAGACCCCTCTTCTAAGGCATCTTGAAGGGACTCGCTCGAAAGACAATGCAGTGAAGGCATATCGCCGTATCCATGCATGATACACACATTTTCCTCTGGATATTGGCTTTCGTTATTCCACTTATTAAATCCTGTTTTTCAATTGTCTTCTTTACGATATCTGCCTTCTCATCATGCCTCCTTCTATATACTTTGCAAGCTGCATTACCCCCATTACACACAAACAGACACACTCCAGATTCACATGGTTCTTGCTGAAACCAGGAGCCTCTCTTCGATCTCCAGTTTTCTTTGCAGACCCTTTTCACCCATCGGAACTGGCCCGGGTGGAGCTTCAGTGGTATGGTCAAGAGGAGGGGTGATGCTTATTGACAAAATCGATGTTATAATTTCCTAGGGATAGTATAGCTTGCATTTTCAATTGGATCTGGCGGTCTTTCAAGGACTGAAGAGGCGACGCTATCCCCATCTTGTTTGAAAAAAAAGAAGAAGAAAAAAGACACACTCTAGAATCCAGATTCACATGTTTTTTGGAAGAGGGTGAACATTCTGTTGTATGGACAACACATATGGTGGCGATGGCGAAAACTCATGGGATCTATTCTCATGCTGTTATCTTGTCATCATATCAATGGAACTATTTTCCTATGCCAGAACCTCCAGGTCTAGGAAGATAGGGTGCTCGCACGAGTCATTTTCCCGTGCCACACAGATGGCCCATGAAGGAGTCTGGCTTTCCAAACCTGAAAGAATCCCATTTGGACCCTTTTCCCTGTGCAGGAAGAAAATAAATTGTATGGCAGCTGTTGGCTAGTCCTCGCTTTTTTTAAGGAAAAGTTCGAAAAACTAGTATTTTACTATTTTCTCATTTTTGACCCGCGGTTAGCCCTTCGTGCCATCGTATTCAGGAGGGTCTGAGGTGATAACCTCATTATTACGGGTTTAGCACTACCAAGGGTAAACCTACCGTCTTCACTCGAATAGAACGCCCGGTCATGATATCTGTATCTAGACTGATAGATGCCTCAAATACAGCTATAATGACCGTACGTTGTATTCGGGGGAAGAAGGTTGCCCCATTCTGAACGCTTGCCAGGCTTACAGTGCGTTTTCCTTTGGGCAAGGAGAAAAAGTACACCTGTCAGAGGGAGGTATCAGTGGCTTGGCACTGCCTGACTCCCTTTCCTTCCCATGGGGAGCCGCACCTGCTTGTCTTCAGCCTTTTTTGAGTTTTTTATTTCTTGTTTTTTTTAGAGGCTCCTGTCTATTGGTGGGGAGCCGCACCTGCTCGAGACCGGGCCCAGAGTCCCAAGAAACAGTGATTGTTTCTCGCTCTGAACCGTTCCCCTTGTTACGGCGTGGGGAACCGTGATAGCATTGACTACTTCCCGGGGGAAGGATTAACAGTCAGTCAAGCCCATACCTGTAAGTCAATACCCCTCCCATTCCTGTTGCACTGCGCCTAAAGAAACAGCACCCCCAAAACCGCCCCCCCCCAAAAAAATAAAAATAAAAATAAAAATAAAAATAAAGAAAATGCAGAGTAGTCCCTCTCAGTCCACCATAGTTTTCCCCCCAAAACTTCCAGTAACTAGAGTGAAGAAGGTGCACATAGCGCCTATTTTGGCACTAGTGTTGTAAAATAAGTGAAAAATGGGATGTCCAGTAACAAGAAACAACACACTACTAATAGCATACGACCAAGTTAACTGGAACTTCCAGCAGCAGTGTATGGAACGGACGGGGGTGGGACCAAACTTCTGAAGATGGGTAAGAGTACTGTATAATGACGCCCATAGTCAGGTCCAAGTCAATGGATTCCTCTCCAGTCCCTTCAAGATGTCATGCTCGGTCCGCCAAGGGGACCCGCTCGCGACACCCTTGTTTCTCTTCACGATGGAAGCGATAGCATCCTTTCTGCGAAAGGATCCGTCCATAAACAGACTGGTCGCTGAACCGACTCTCCACACACATGCGGTGACCCTTCCGACTACTCTACTCTTTGCGGATGATCTCACAACCATCATCAAGGCCTCCGAGGCTTCCTTTCAGGGACTTATCGGAGCTATGCAAACATTCCAGCTGGCCTCAGAAATGAAAGTCAACTGGCGCAAAACCATGGGCTGGTGGCTGGAAGACATTCCACAACCTCCCCATGAAGTTTCCCCAATAGGGTTCGCATGGCAAAATCCGAGAACGCCCCTGCGTTTTCTGGGAATCAAGCTTGCAGATTCCGGACCTGACCAGGCCTTGGCACCGGAGATGCTGACGAAGATGTTATGCAAAATGGACACCTGGTCCAGCATCTACACGTCAATCTTCGGAAGGGCGCTGGTACTTAACGTGTTCATTTTTTCCATGTTGTGGTATGCAGCTACCATCTGGACACCCGAAGGCAACATGGTCATAGCCCTCAAACGGCGAGCGACCGCTTACTTATGGACCGAGAATCCTGCGACACAGCGCTTCCTACCAAAGGTGGCTTGGTCGCACGTCATCCAACCAAAGGGTAAAGGTGGTTTGGCAGTCCTTGATCCGGCTACTCAAACCAAGTCCATTCAAACGAAGTGGATTGTCAAGTAACTACTACAACAACGACTCCCTTGGACTACTCTGGCCTTGAACAGGAACAGGCAGCTGCCTAAAGCCACCTCCCCGTCCAACATGCAAGGGCTCTTCTGGGTAATGTCGAAGTCTTGGACGACTCGCAGCAACGTGCAGCGGACTAACCAGCAACAACAGGTAACCCGCTTGGAGTACTGGATATACCTCATCAGGATCTGGCGAGAGATCTTTCCGGCCAAGGTTCGAAGTCCAACAAACAGAGAGGAAGTCCTGCGCCAGCCCCTCTTCTGCAACCAATGGCTGAAAGACCCCTCCGATAAACCATGGACTCTGATAACACAGGATACCCGCTGGATTACATGGCTAGAAAAGGGTGTTTGGCAACTTCAACACATCTGGAACCATCACTGCAATCGTTGGAAGAGAACAGCGGAGCTCAGAACAACTCTCAAAGGATGCCACAACTTGGAGGACAATAGGCAGGCGATGTTACAATCCATACGACAGGACTGGGTGGCACTCTTACAATCGCCCCCCGCCTGGATATCAGGGGAGTGGGCTACGTGGACGTCACAAAACACTCCCACAGAAGTATTGTCATATGTAAAGTCAACAGGCCCGGCAGGGGACTGGGGACTATGGACCATTCACGACATACAACAGCCAAGAAACAACATCAGCAGGGTCTCTAAAACAGCACGTGCCCGAGTCACAGCCAAACCGTCCTTCCTCAAGAAAATCAGAGTGGTGGAGGACGAAGAATACATAACTTATCAGCCGGGAACAACCTTACAAGATTTGGAGTTTGATCCGGCAGAGTGAGCATGGGAAACAAGAGCAATGCCAACAGGGGCACAAAAGCGTACCAATATCCTAGACTACTCAACTAGTTTCGGCTATAAACTTAGACATAATCCGGTGAACACAGAGCTCATCTTTTTTTTTTTTTTTTTTTCATCTTGTCCCAGCGTTGGTAGAAATATATTCCGGGGTGCGTAGGCACCACGGAGAAGCTTGACTGGCAGGCCCCCCTCGCCATCAGAAATACTCGTATAAGAACCATGCAATGGCTTATATACTATCAGGCCTTACCGGTCAACACATGGCTCAGCAGGAGAAGGTTGGGAACTGGTAGACGAGATTTCGACGATAGCTGCGCAGTCTGCGATGATGGATCCCTCGAGGACGTGCTACACTGTCTGATCAACTGTTCTAATGCACAAAGAATTTGGAACAAAACGCGGGCGTACTGGTTGGAGCTAGTCGGCGCATCGCTACCGGACAACCTACTGACACTCCTGAGGGGTTGGCACAACCAAGTTTCAGAGAAGTCTGGCATTCAACCCTCTTCGTCCTTTTACACTCTGGATCATATGGAAGACTCAATGCAAACAAACGATAGCATGCCAAAATACATTGACCGGGGAGGCCTGGGAGAATGTTCTTCAACTTCTACACACGGAATACCAGGCAGATTGGCGCCGAGCAAACAAGAATATCAAGGACGATCCCACAAAAAGGCAAATAATCATAGACGAATCCATCAAGGACAGGTTCGGAATGGGGAAACTCGGCACAATACAAGGTGACCTCCGGCGATTGTTTTGGACAAGGAGGGAGGAAAAGCACGGGAGAGACAGATCTACGTTCCTTGCCTCGTTGGAAATGGCACAATCACAAAACAGTTCAGCAGACATAAATTCAGCTTAGTGGTCTTACAGGATTATGGTTTCATGTAAAAAAGGACTAGGTCTCCACGTCAGGGGGGACAGTAGGGTTTAGGGTTTTAGAAGAGCGGACAGAGAGGTAGAAAGTTTCGGGGTTCAGAGCGGAGGAATAGCACGGATCTTATGTCTTGGACTAGGAACTGGTAAATCAAGGCATCATTATAACCGAGGGTCTAGGGCTTAGGACTTATACAAATAGGGGTTAGATTTGAAATCTTTCAAGGGAATCATACACGTCCCAGAACACTCTGGTAAAACACACCTACCCGAAAGTTTCAAAACTGAGAGGAGCAGAACTGGGATTAGATGGTTTGACAAACTGAGATAGTACAGGCTAAATTAGGCAGGGGTGAGAGGTGGTACATCCTTCCTCAGGGAAGTATTCAATGCCATCCCCTCGGGCCTCCCAGCCATAATGGGGGGGAGCGTGCGTGTGTTTCTTATGTATCTCCTATTGACTTGCCGGGGGAAAGGAACCGGACTGTTGCTCCCCAGAATGGTAGGAGCCAGAACCATGAGGTTCTGTTTTTTTTTTTGTTTTTTTTGTTTTTTTTTTTAAACAGGTCCTTATGGCCCTGGCTCCATTTCCATTCTGGGGAGCGTCAGTCCGGTTCCTATTCCACCGGCATGTCAGATTAAGATATTACATCATGAAGCACACTCACGCTTCCTTCCGTCTGGCCGAAGGAACCCTGACCAGCATTGATTACTCCAGCATTGTGGAGGATTGACTGTCAGCTTGCCTTACTTCCACCTTTCCTCTCAGGTCCACTA